GATCATTATTCAAGGCCAAGTAAGCATAAAAGCTCCATTTCAGTCACTGACTGGGCACAGTGGTATGGGTCTGTCATTCCAACAATGAAGGAAAACATAAATAGGAAGAACATTATCTAGGCCAGTTCAGGCACCAAAGCAGGACTCTACCTTGAAAATAAACAACACAAAAAGGGACTGGCATAGTGGCTCCTGTTGTGGGACATCTGCTTAACAAGCATGATACCTTGAGTTCAAACCCAAGTATGGCCAAAATAATCCAAGTAATCTATTTCAAGATGCTTAGTAATAGTTGTCCAAGGAAGGCCTTGAACTCATGGGAATTTATTAAGTAATTTATTTAACATGTTTTAACTTTTTAATACTTGTTACATGCCATGTTCCCTTTAAAAGATTGGTGTATGGTTTCCCTTATTTGCAATATCTAGTATAGGTATGAGTCAAGCGGAAAAAGTCAGAGAATGTGATGTTAGGAAAACGAACCCTCAAATATGTATTTTAATGTTTTTGTTTCTTTCATGCATGTGTTTCTAACGCATTTATAATATTATTTCTTTGTTGCTTTGTATGTCCCTCCCCCACAGTGTAACCCCCGCTTTCACTATATTTGATGTCAGTATAACATGTGGAGGAGACGGGGACAAACAAGTCGTTTAAGGATTCAGGTGGACCTGTTGCAACAATGAGAAGTACAAAATGTCATGTCAAAACCAGCTTTACAATGTCGGTGGGGGGGGAGGGGGGGTATGATTGGGTGGGGGGGGAGGGGGGAGGCTGGGAAGGGAGGTGAAGGGTAAACAAAGGAGGAGGCTGCAATGCTTGGTAAGAAATGTATGCATTATCCTGCCCATGTAATTGTAACCCCTCTGTACAGTATGTTCTCAAATAAAATAAAATAAAATTAAAAAAATAAAAATAAAAGATTGGTGTATGGAAGTAAATGAAGCAAAATCCTATGTTTATAAAGCTTGATAAATAGTAGATCAAACAGTCATAACAGCTGGGCACCAGTGAGGCATACCCGTAGTCCTAGCCTACACAGGGGGCTAAGATCTAATGATCATGGATCAAAATAAACCCAGTCATGAGGCACTGAGACACTTATCTCCAATTAAGAACCAAAAACAAGGGAGGAAAAGCCAGAAGTAGAGCTATAGTTCAAGTGGTAGAGTGCTAGCCTTGAGCAACAAAGCTCAGAGACAGTGCCCAGGCCCTGGCCTGGCATAACAGCAATAGTTTTTAAAAAGCAGTCCTAACAAATGAATAAATCAATAAATAATTTCAGATAGTCATAGAAGCAATGAAGGACTAGAATAGAGGGAAAGCCATTTAGTTTGTGCAAAGCTGATAGGGAACGCTCCTGGGAAGGAACATTTAGGCTGAGCCCTGTATGATGAAATAAGGCAAATCAAGATATGTTGGGGAACATTTTATATGGGGAGCCCATTTACCTTGTGAGCCCACAGTAGCTAAGGCTAGGGACTTGGAAGCACATGGCTTGTCTGGGGAATAGAGGGGGGAAAACACTGTGGCTAGATAAATATGGGAAAGGGAAGATTGCATGGAGTGAGAAGGGTAGGCAAATCCCATGGGTGGGAAAATATCCATACTTCATTCCAATCACAGAGGGAAGGTACTGGAGGAATTTGCACATCGCTGGTTTCTAAAGGCAACTTTCTTGGCCTCTGCATCAAGTGGCCCACAGGGAGCAAATGGAAAGGGAGACTTTATGGAGCATGCAGGGAGACCAGCATGAAGGTCGAGGTAAGGACCAATGCTTCTGAGAAAAGAAAATTGAGGTTTTTCTCGGAACAAAACTGAAATGGACAGTGAGGGGCCATCTAATTAAGTTTCTGATATTAGGTAAGAAATCTTAGCAGATCCATGCTGAGCCTGGACTATATACCTCCTCTGTCTTGGGACCTCCCCTCAATGTACTAAGGTACTAAACAATGTTTGGCCACTTCTAGGAGGATGGGTTGTACTTGGCTCACAAAACAAATCTCATCTGAAATCTCAGGCGGACATTGCAGCGTGTAAAGATGGTGTCTCAGGAATTTACATGCCTGTGTAATGTGCTCTGGGTGTGTATGTGTGCAAGAGTGCATGTTGATCTTTATTTATCATTGAAAATGCATCTTTGAAGATACCATTTAGGAAAAGAAAGGGGGAACTGTTAGGTAGCTAGGAATGAAAAATGTGGATATAATATGTGGCAGGTAAAATGCCTCAGGCTTCTGATCAAATACTTTATCTTCCCATAACTCTGTGAATTCACACTCAAATGTTCCTTCCTCCAGTGAAGCTCTGGATTTCACTTAACCAGTGAAAACAGTTGGGGCAGCACACTCAACCAATGAAACAACCATCCAGCAGTCAGCGGAAAAACCCAAAGGATATGGGAAGAACCGCGGGGTTGAGAGGACTCCCGTGGACTCCTCTGTAGTGGTTTCCTTTCACTTTCAAATAAACTTTCTCCATCTGCTTTAAACACTTCCCTTTCTTTTAATTCTTCAATGGGCCGAGAAAACAAATCTGTACCCCTAGAGACCATCACTATCACCTATTAACATCTAGGACCTGGCTTTAGCAAAACAGCCTGGGATGAATGGCTCTAGAATTTCATTTTCAAACTCACCAGGTTGATTTTTTTTTTATTTGAATGATTTTTATAACCAAAAACTCCTGTTTCCCATTAAAATTGGCTCACATAACATAAAAGACGAAATTGTTAGTTCAAATATCACTATTATAAAATTGTGTTCACTTACTCTGACTAAAGTATTGAGTTAATGGCCATATTTATTCAGCAATCTGAGCTTGAATAGCAGTACAAGCCACTCACAATGCACCATATTTATCTATGTGCCTATGTGGTTGAAATGTAAAAAATGGCCTTTGTAGAGCTTTGGCTGAATGCTGTCATATGTGGACCCAGAGAGTGAGATCTTATTTGTAAAATAATTTAAGCTATGCAGGTATAAGTGAATAAGATTGGAGAGGAAGTTTGCCACCTTTGTTAGTTTTAATTTACACATGTCATCATTGGTTCTCAGAGAGAAAAGTGTTCCTGAACTGTTTTCCTGCATCAGGTAGAAAAGTTCTAACAAAACAGGAGCCACAGGATAGGGGTCCCAGATAAGGACAGGCTTTGCCTTGTCTGGAAGTGGCAGAGACCCAGTAGTTTCCTTCTGCTAAATTAGAGTACTCGAGGTTCCCCAGACTCATATTGTATAATTTGGGAAAAGAACTCCCCTTGTTACCTACGTTAGAATATATATATGTATATGTATATGTTCCAAAGCTGTAAACCATGACATGGAAACCAAACATAGAACTTCACTGTATTACAATTATACCATTCTTGGGCATTTATCCAAGATTACAAGTCAGGATACAGTAAAGACATTTATATACAGTGTCTGTTGCTGTATATTTACTATAGCCAACTTGTGGAAACATCCAGATGTCTTTCAATGGCTGGATGTATCTAGCAAACTCCATACAGATATAGATATGAATCTAGATATAGATACAGATATAGATCAATATGGATATAAATATAGATATGCCTATATATATGTAAATACAGATCTATAAAATATAGATACATACAAACATACATATATCTATGTATGTATTTATAGTTATATAGTCATATATGTGAATTTTATTCACCCATCAGGAAGATTATCATTTGCAGGGAAACAGATGGACCTGGAAAAAATTATGTTAAGTGAACTAAGTCAGGTTCAGAGAGGAAAAGGATTCTTGTTTTCTCTCTTTTGCAAAAGTCAGATCCAAATTATAAATTTATATGCGAACATACATATGCACATATCCACAAACATATCAACCAAAGCATAATATATACAGGAGAAGATTCCAGTGGTAAAACTCTTTTGAACAACTAACATACAGCTTAACAAAATGAATACCAAGAACCTCGGACTTGTGGTATCAAAAAGGGATCAAAGAGAGGGAGTGGATGAGTGGGAAGAGAAAGAGTGTGTGAATATAGTCATATTCAATGTATATATGTGAAAACGGAGCTGGGAAATTTGAGGGGCTGGGTGGTGTTGGGAGAGACGGGAGAATGAAGGAAAGATGACATTGAGCAAATGCATTGTACTCACAAGCATGTTGAACTAAAGTCCCTTTCCACAACCACTTAAGGATAATAAAACCAAATTAAAAATATCTGTGACATGGGATGTTTCTAATAACTACATGGAGTAAGTTTAGTTGTTAGCATTAGCTTGGTTGAGTGAACCGAACCAGCAGACTTCCTTCCCTGAGTTGTTTTCTAGAGTGATGAATAAGTTTCGTCCTCTCCCTTTTATTATAACTCTCTTACTCTGACACTTCTGATTGTTGAGAGGTTATTTTGGATATTTCTGGATATTTGGTTATTTATGGATATTTTCTAAGTCACACATTGGAGTTAATTCGAGGAAATAATGTGATTCCAATTGAGCCATCATTATTCTTGCTGCCAGGCTCCACACATTAGACGTTTTGTGGGCTGGGTTGGTTGACATTCCATATTAATTTTACATACTTGCACTTCTAATTTCCCCATCAAATCATAATAAATGGACTAAAGATCTGATTGAAAAATGTGAGAGAAATGAGGTTTATTATGCTAGGTTGAGTAAATACTATTTGAAGAGGTTACTAGAGGGAACAATCAAGTAAATTGCTTTAAAAAAAACACACTTTTTTTTTTTTTTGCTTTACTGGGCTATGTAAAATTGATTGAGCAATTGATTCTGTCATAGAAAGTGATCTGAAGAAAGTGAGGTTCAGTCTACAAGGTTTCCAGGCACATTCTTCTCCTCCTGCCTGGAACTGTAACCTAAATGAGCAGAGTCCCCTGGGGCTGGAAAGCAGTGTTGCTGACAGACTTTTGCTCTCACCCCCAGGAAACATAAATGTTGACAGTTTGACAAACATGCTGACTGAATGATTTCTTTCTTTCTTTTTTTTGTTTGTTCTAGATGCTGAAGAATACCAGCCTCCAATATGGAAATCATACCGTGAGTATTTGAAATAAAACTCTCTCTAGTGGTGGGGAGCTGGATTCCTTCTGGGTGTGTTTCATATGGCAGCTCCTCCCTGCAAACACCCTTGAGCCTTTCTTGTCCACTACGGAAAGATAACATTGGAGATGATGTATTTGGCACCTCTCCCCTGATCAAGACCTCTGAGAACCTGCTACCACGGATCCACCTCCAGGATGCTAGAGAGGGGAGGTAGATGTACCTTCTGCTGGGGACTTTTATTAGGTTTTAAGCACAGTTGATCAGCAAAAATGAACGTATTCATGTCCATTAATTATGCTCTCAGCTGATCATCAAAGGCTATATTATCATACAACGTCACACTATGTCGTGTTAGTATCACATAACATCATATGATCTGAAAATGAACAGAGAGTTATTTGGTCTCTAAAGGTGAGTCCTGTGAAGCAGACTCATGTCTGAGCATGAGCCTCACAGTACAGCTCTCATAAAGGAAGGCAACAGCCATCCCCTCATCGCTCTCTCTCTTTTTGGTATTATATGTGTGGTGCACTACTTCTCCATCAAGAGAGGGGAGGATTGTTGTAGGATGGTGACCCACCACACCAAGCATCAGAGGGGCAATGGCTCATCCAGGGTCCATTGGTAGGCATCAAGAAGAATCATTATGCTCAGCACTGTTGACGCTGCAACTGTTGTTACTGTCCTCTGAGAATCTGCCTTATCCCATCACTGGACTAAGCCACTGCATCTCAGATTCTCACCACAGTCCTACTAGATGGACACCAATGTCATCTCCAACTTACACAGACAAAACCATGGCTCAGGAAGGCAAGATAACTTGGCAAAAGCTTCACAAAAAGTGGCTCATGGAATCCAGAGGAAAGTCTGACTCACAGCTTTCTGGCCTCTAAAACTTTTTTCTATCTATTTAAACATTCATATAGGTATCTATCAATGTGTTTATCTATCTCTCTATCATCTACCTTTCTACTATCTGTCTGTCTAGCTATCTGCAATTTGTAGTCATGTGTTGAATGATGACTTTAACCAACAATGGATCAGGCATATGGCCTTTTAAACCACATGGTCTAGTTAGGTATGTAGTAAGCTTTACCATCAAAGTGTGTTAAGTACATTCTGTGATGTTTGCACAGCTCTGAAGTCACCTAGCAATACATATACCTGTTGACAAATGGTGTTTCTTAGAATATAGGCTTTCTTTAAATAATGCTTGTCTGTATATATGTAATATCCACATATATACATAGGTACATACATAATCTGATCATATTGGTTATAAAGGCAGTTAAAGCTATATTCATAAAACGAACATTAGTTAGGCACTAGTGGTACATGTCTGTAATCCTAGCTACTCAGGAGGCTGTGATCTGAGTGTCACAGTTTGAAGCCAGCCCAGGCAGGAAAGTCCATGAGACTTTTATCTCCAGGTAATTCCCCAAAAGCCAGAAATGGAGCTGTGGCTCAAGTGGTAGAGGAACAAAAAGCTCATGGACAGCACCCAAACTCTGAGTTCAAGCCCCAGGACTAGCACAGGAAAAAAATTAAAGAAATACATGTATGGCTGAGAATACAACTTCCCCATAATCCACAAACCACCTCACATTCTAGCTCTCCCACCCTGCTTCCCACTGCTTTTTTTTTTTTTGTAAAAGTGATACACAGAAGTGTTACAGTTACATAAGTCACATCATGAGCACATTTCTTTTTGAACACTGTGTTTTTTAAGGCATACCCTTCCTATGATTTAAAAAAAAAATATTGACCCATTGTAACAATGAGATGTACAAGACACTATGTTGAAAATGAACAGGGGGGGGAAGAGTTGGAGAGGTGGGGAAGGAAGGAATGGTAGGAGAAAAACAAAGGAGGAGGCAACCATGCTCGATAAAAAAAATGTACTTATTACCCTATTCATGTAACCGTAACCCCTCTGTACACTATTTTTACAATAAAAAAGGTTGCTTGTTTGTTTTTTTTTTTTAAAAAAAAGGCCATAAGTGGAATTGTGGCTCAAGTGGAGCTGTGGCTCAAAAGATAGAGCAAGGGCCAGCCTTGAGAAAAAAAATAAAAACACTTCTGAGTTAAAAAAAAAAAAACAATGGTGACGACTCAGGCACTTTCTTGTTACTTGGTTTTGTCCAAATGGTTTTATACCATAGTTAGTGTTCTTCCTTCCCTTCCTCGCTTCATAAGCATCTATTGCCTGTCTCTCCACGAAGCCCAGCAGAGGCATTTCGTCCTTTATTACAGGAGTCTGTTCTTCCATCTGTGAAATAAAGGATCATGCTGGGTCTCTAAGGGGGCCCTTGGAGTCTAGTGTTCTGCCTTCTCATCTTCGATTTTGATTTTAAAAGGCAGTGCTAATGACTTAGTAATTGGATGTTTTTGTTTGTTTGTTTCTTAATGGAGTGTGAAGTGCTCTGACAGTAAATCAACAAAATATCTGTAGTGAGAGGTCCTGTATATTCCGTGACTTACTGTGCCTTGCACACAGCCTTGCACACATTAATGACCCAATAAATATTTGTTGAACAAATGCCACTGCTGGGAGCTTTACTGAAGCCAAAGATGGCATTGGCTCAAATTCATCTCGGTTTTTTTTCTAAGTGACCTTGGGCCACTCAATCTCTCTCTTAAAAGCACTTTTATCTCCTAAGCAAGCTAGAAAGAACATTGCTAATTACATGTCCACAATATCAATTTAACCCCAGTGTACTGTGGTTAAATTTGATTTCTGGATCTAAGTTATGCTTTTAAATTTGCTTGAAAAAGGGATTGTTAGGCCATTTAATACAACCTTAACCGCATTTATAAAACCTTTCTTTATTACACACAACTAGCAGCTATTCAGACTAAGGGCCTCAAGAGATGAGAATCTTAAAATATGAGACGATTGTCTTATCCACAACATCTCAATATATTGATCAAAGTTCTACAGAATACCACTAAGAAAGAACTCTCTTTTGTTTATCTTAGACCAGGAGTTTTTGTTTTTTGTTTTCTAGTTTGGTTGTATCTCAAATATTTTTTATCAGGGTCTTATTCAAGATGAGCATCTATATTCAAGATTAACATCCATTTGATCTTTTAGTAAATAGTTTCTGAATGTCAAGAGATTCAATATTAGGAACCAACAGTGAATAAAATGTGGTCCATACATATATGCAGATTTTCATGGGCTGCTTCTAAAATCCCAAAGATCCTCAAACTGTAACAGGTTGTTTTTTTTTTTTTTTTTTCAGAAATTCCATCAAAGCCCTCAGAATATCACATTTGTTATGTTTTAAATAATCTTCTCATAAATACATTCTGAATCTTAGGATTCACAAAGCTCTTCTATTTGTAATGCTAACATGACAAAATGCCTTTGGGGAGATTAGTTTTATATGTTGATACCAAACTCATTAACATGTCATTTATAGAACCCATATTCTTCCATCACACACTGTTTTCTTAATTGCAGGAAAGAGCACAACTAATATAGTTCCAGGACACAATTACTTTTATTATCATATAGGACTTGGCTTAAAATTAATGATTTGTGATTATTGTTATGGCATGGAGGCATTTTTTTTGCTTCTATCAAGTATAATCGGCCATTACTTTGCTTTATTTGGTATTTTGAAGAATATTGGTCCTAACTCTGTCATTATTCCTAAAACAAAATCTATTTCTAAGCAGTGTACTTAAATTTTAATGATAACTTCAGTAATTTTGTTACAAGTAACAGTGCATTCAATCACATCAGTTAATTTAATCTGCAAGTTTAGAGGGAACTGGCTTTAGGTATGACATTTTCTCTCTCAAATAACTTTACCACAACAGTGTGAATATCCCTTTTTTCCTCTCTGCCTTTCCTGTTGTTGTTGTGTATGTGGTCGTAAGGAAGCAAACCCAGGGCCTCATGCATGTTAGGCAAGCATTATACCAGTAAGCCACAATCCCAGCCCTCCTGCTTTATTCTTAACATGTCTTCTATGCCATTCCCAACTAGGTACCAACAACAGCAGGACTATTGCTTTCTCTTTCAAAAGCAGCCAACAGAGATTAAGTTCCAGCTCTAACTGAAATGGGTTTCCTTACTCTATTACCATGCTCAGGGAGTTGATATCTGTTAACTTTACTAAACTGCTCAGGACCTATTGCTGGAACTCAGGGAAGGATCATGTCTATCCAACTCATGTGATTGAAGATCTTTAAGTAATACTGGGATAAGAAAGATAACTACAGACTTAGGGTAAGAAGCTCTTCCAATGTTATATATAATGCAGAGCACATTATGTATGTATCATTCAACAGGTGAATATGAAGTCTCTGCCTTAAGCCAGACAGTTGCTATGAGTTGTAAGGCCAGTAGGATGTCTAAAGGATTTAAGATCTCACACTATGGTCCTCAGTTCCTTCCTTTGCCATTTTTTTCATAGTAGCTAATGCTATCAATTACTGAGATATTGTCTTCGAATACTCTTATGCCACTGTATCTGCAGCAAATTCTCATCTCTCGAGACCAAACCCTAAAATATGGTTGAGAAAGTGATGGATTCAATGTCCTAAGAAAAAGTGTTCACATCTGGAACTTTAAGCCAAAACAGTATAAACTGTTTGCTCCAACCATACAGCTTCAAAAGCCAGCCATCATGGGTATACTCTGGAAGATTTTCTTTTTCGAGAGGGTGAATGTCAATTCATTTCAGCTACGGATGTGCTATGGCTGACAGCTGTCCCAGGAGCCTTTCCTTGTGCAGCAGATCAAGCGGTCATAGCTTGTGACTGTTTTTCCAAATAGGACTTTGGAGCCTTGAAGATCTTGAGTTGCAGATTTTCTGTATTAGAATCACCCATGTGAAATGTATCTGACCCATATCTTGGTATTGGAAAATTGAGATCATGGCTGGTCAAACTCCAAAGATTTTCTTTTTGATGGTATTAGGTTTAAACTCAGGGCTTCATGCTTACTACTAGGTGCTCTACCATTTGAGCCATACTTCCAGCCCCTCAGAGGTTTCTGTTTGTGTGTGTGTATGTGTGTGCATGTGTGCACACGTGTGTGTGCATGTTCATGTGTGCATGCAGGCTGTAATGGAGCTTATACTCGGGGCCTCATGTTCTCACATCTCTACCACTTGAGCCAGACCAAAGTTTTTTGTTTTATTTTTTCAAGGCATATATATGCCTGGATCCCTGCCTGGTATGAAGCTCCATAAGCCCTTTCCTTTATCACAATGCGACCGGACAATAGGATAAGGGAATTTAAAGATGACATCCTGTTAGTATAAGACAGAGCTGAAGGGGAGTTGGAGCAAGGTTCTATAATTCAATGCTCACACCTGTGAGGTTTTTTTCCCTGAGAAATGGGAAGGCATAAACAGGGAGCAAAGTGGTACTGGCTCAGTGTCACCGCCTCGTGGCTGGACTCAGCTCCTGGACCCACATGCTCTCTGTAGAGAGAAGTGGTCTGCAGGAGTGGGATTCACTACCACCCAGGCCATGGCCTTCCTCTGTCATCTACAGGAGTGATTGCCTCTGTTTGCAGAGGAGGGCGGACCAAGTTTTCTTCATGAAGAAAAAAGCATATTTGATTTCTCAACCTATCTTGGGAATCTGGCAGTCTCAGTCTCCACTTCCACATTCTTGGATGACCATAACCTCTACCAGCTACAGCAGCTAACAGCTTGCTACCCTGCAAAATATGTTCTGTGTTGTTGTAGCCAGCCATGGAGTGCCTGTTTCATTATGCCATTGCTCTGCTCACAGAACCACCCAGAGACTGACATCCACTGCTGTGTTTTCCTTCTGAAATATGTTTGTTGAATGAAGAAAATTCAAGAAGTGACATTTTCAGATTATGTGACATGCCTCAGTTACATTAGATTTACCTCAGAGATTTTTTTTTCCCTCACACAGGTGTTTGTTTTGTTTCAGCTCATTCTGAAAATGATGGACAAACTCTTGCTATAAGCTAAGATAGGAAATTGGACTTTGTTATTTTGTTTGGCTTCCATTGCAATTGGTTGCCATCTCATTATCTGCACAGACGGACACACAACCCAGATGGCAAACAGGCTTCTAGCCCTATTTGCCAATTTCTCTTTCTTGGAACAGCACAGAGAAACAGGCACTCAATTAATGATGCCTACTACTGAGGGATGAGGCAGGCAAGGTGGCTTCCCTGATTTCTTGGGCTGCAGAGGCCCTTCCCTCTTCCTGTTCCAAGTCATCCCTGGTGGTCTTTTATCAGTTATGTGGTTGGTGATCTACTATCTCTCTCTTTATCAAAGTTCAGAGGGTACTCAGAAGAAAGAGCTGTGTGATTTAGGCTGTTTACCCAGGAAAGAACTGTCCAGAAGTGTTCCATTGCCTGCATTCTTCATTTTTATCCATGGCATCTCAATCTCTTTGACACTCAGTGTCAAAGACACTGTCATTGGTCAAGCCCTGTCAGTCTTCCTGTACAATCAACTATCTTCTCATCTGCACTCCCAGAATAGCGCTTTAACCCACACAATCTCTGTCATGTACAAGTTAAATGTTGTTCTCTTTAACCTTGTCTTGTTGTCTCCAAGGGTCTTCCTGTTCCATGGCTCCTTCCACAAGACAGAGGATGGTGCCCCCCACTTAGGGATGTACATAAGAATCTTTGGAAAACAATATAGTTGTCCTGCTGGAGTGGCAGAGTGGGCATCTCCAAGGATAGAGTCTGGGAATCTGTATTTCATAGACAGTTCTCAAAGATGCTGTTTGGCTCTAGGGCAAGCAGTTCACCTGAAGCCGTTCCACCATCCACTTTATAGAAGCAGGGATGAGGCTGAAACATCTAGGCTGTGAGAGGTCTGATGATCCAGGCTTTGACTCTTGATTTTGGCCCATGGCTTCTGTGACTGTGATGGCACCTACAGCCATCTTCCCTGCTCTATCAGTACGGGAGAATAAGTTTCCATGGAAGATTAAGCCAGCAGATTCATATAAGGTGTCTGGCATATAACTTCTAAGTTCCCAGTAGCAGCTTTGCGCAGTGGCAGTATCGTAGCCAATGAGGTTTATCCGAGGCGCGATTATTGCTAATTGAAACTTTTCCCAGTAGCCATGTCCTTAGTAGTGCTATTCCAAAACAGACTCCTGAGGGCAGGCCACTTCCTCCTCACAGAAGACTGAAGAATGCTTTTACTCTACTCCTTAGCTTGACTTCCTGTGGCCTCTCATATATTATGCTCCCAGCACAGCTACCACTGTGGCCTCCCACCAGCACATTATTTCCTTTTCCTGCTACCACTCTTCCTTCCACTGCCATCCTCTGTCTACTGTAGTTATAAAAACTCTCCTGGAGGAGAGCTCTATTCCCCTTCCCACAGGCAGCCATTCTGACCAGCTGAGGTAGCTGAGCAGCTACCTACTTTTCCCTTGTTAAAGCTCATGTCCCAGCTGGACTTTGTGTCTATAAGCATAACTTACTCCCAGGATTAGGATCCTCAAAGGCACAGATTGTGAGCCCTGAGCCATGAGCTAGAGCCCATTCCATCGGGCTTTGTTATTTTGTTTGTCTTCCAGTGAGTGGCCATCTCGTTACCTGCATAGACAGACACACAACCCAGAGGCAAGCACGTATCTACGAAGTGTCAAGAACTATTGCAGGTTCTAGAGACTCTGCACTAGCAAGGTCCTTGGCCTTGTAGAACTCACACTCTAGTCAAAGGAGTCATATGCAAAAATAATCAATAGTTTTACTTATTGCTGTCATTCATAGTGATGAGTACTGTGAAGAAAAATACAGCAGGAAAAGGGAGAAGAATGATGGATAGAATTCTATACCGGAAACTCGGGGAAGGCTTCCCTGGAGAGAAAGGGTTTAAGTAGAAACAGGAAACAAAGCAGTGAATTAGCCATACAACTAACTTTCCAATTGCAAAGAACCTGAGGCACAGGAACAATAAACTAGGGCTCTGGAAGATAAAGGTTACAGTTTAGGCTAGGGACAAATAGTTAATACTCTGCATTTCTTCCTCATCTGAAAAACCAGAGCCATGATGCCACCAAGTTGTTGGGTTTTTTTTTCTGCATTCTTTAGAAGACTTAATAAAGTATTGTTCCTGAAATGTGACAGACACTTAGACTGAGTATGCTGTTCTCTTCTCTATTCCATTTCTCCCAATTCATCCTCGCAGCCTCCACCTAATGCTGACTGTGGTGTCTGGCATATAGCAGATGCTCACATATTTGCTGGTATGAATTGCAAAGGAGCATTAAGCTAAAAATGCTTCCTTTCTTATAACAGGGACACTTCAGTTTTTTTCCTCCATTAAAAATAGTGTTTACAAAGCCATCCCACCCAAGCCCCCATATAACTGTTGGCTTCCAGAGGCATTGACAATGAGAAGAAAAGGAATCTGTGAATGTAGATTCTGAATTCCACTTGCATCTAAAGCTGTAACTCTAGAAGCTGCTGTTTTGCTTGGTTCCCATTCTATTCTGTAACAGCAGCAACCTAGTGCTAAAAAGCAGCACAGAAGCATGGGGAATGACTCAAAAGGAACAAAGGAACTCAAGCAGCCTCCCTGGTGATTTAAGGAAGGCAGAAGCAGTCCTGAGAGACCCCTGGAAATTGGTCTCTCCCTCACTACCAGTTCATCCTCACGCTTCCTCTCCTCTTAGCATCCATCTCTCGCGGTGTCTCTCATTATATCTTCTTACTTTAAATAGGCAATGCATATGTTTGGTGCATATGCAGTAGAATAAAATATACATAGAGGACACTCTTCTACTCTTAGTTTCTCTTTCTTTTCATCCCCTGGAAATAGTTGATTTTATTACTTCATTGTTCTTTTGAGAGTTTTCACAGATATAAACAAAAATGAATACATACATGTTATTATTTTACAGACTCAAAATGAATGTATGCTCTCTCTCACACACACTCTCTTTCCCTGTGTGTGTGTGTGTGTGTGTGTGTATGTACACAAAAGCGTCCCTTGGTATCATGGGGAATTGGTTCCAAGAACTTACGACCTGAAGATATCAAAATTTATGGATGCTCAAGTTCTGTATACAAAATAGTTTTTATATATAAACAAGATCTATCTATATGCACATCCATCTTTAAATAATTTTGAGATTATTTACAAATCTAATACAATATAAATGCTATGGAAATAGTTGTTACACTGTTCTATTATTTAAAAATAATAAGAAGAAAAAATCCTACATGGTTAGTACAGATGAATTTTTTCCTAATATCTTTAAACAATGAGTAGTGAAATCCATGAATGGGAAATATGTGACCAACTGCAGGCTGTTTACTTGCTTTCTGTATTGAACCAACTCCTGAATATCATCCTATGGCAGTGTGAGATTCTGAATAGTTACTGTTGAGAGCATGATATCCCCTGGAAGATGTACATAATTACTTAACTACTCCAGCCCAACAGGCATTGGTAACCTATTATCTTAATAGATGGCACCTCACCCGCTCCAGATTTACTATGTACTTCCTAAAGGACTTCTAACTTGTAAATCTCACCCCAAAGTGGACATGATTCTTACAATAGAAGCTATGGTTTTATTTGTATTAATATCCACAGCACCTCAATAAGTTCTGAGGCTACAAAACTAAGCACAATAAAACATGATCCCATTCCTCATATGGGGGCCCTACATATGTTGGGGAAGAGAAATAATTTTTATAACTCACACCAATCGCTTCAGAATTATAATAGAACAATCTGTAGGAAGAAAAATACAAGAATTGTAGAATGATAGAAGGGTGATGTATTGTGTTGCAGTGTGAGAAAGGTCAAGACAAACTTTTGAGCAAAATTGGTAATTGAACTCATGATATTGAGAGGTAGAGCATTAGAGTTAGGAAGGGAGGAAAGGAAGGTACCATAGAGAAAGGGATCCAAAGCCCTGAGATTCAAAGGAGCTCTGCGCACTTGGGAAAGGAGTTGTTCAGCAGAGAGTGTGAAATATTAAGTGTGGAAATAGCCAAAGGTAAGACTATTTATGGCATTATAAGATACTTTGGTCTTTAAGAACATTGTGAGGGCACAGGAGCCTGGAAGCCAGGGAGAAATATGAATTGTTGACATTTTAAAACAATCACCCTTGTCACAAGGCAGAGAACAGGCAGGGCAGGATATAAGAATCTCAAGCTTGGAGTCAGCTAGTGGTGTTATTGAGCACATGTAAGAGCCTTTTAAAGAGCAAATTGAGACACCTAATGGCAAGCTGACCATGTAAGTGTCAGAGAAAAATTCTAGAATACTGGCTAGAAAAACCAAATGATTAGTGGCTCCTTTGCTGATAATCAGGATTCTAAAAGAAGTCTAGATGTGGGCAAACAGATCCTGAGGTCAACTTCTGAAGGATTTGTTTGAGGTCCTTTTGAGTAACTATAGAGGAACCTTTGGGCAGTTGGCCATACAGCTTGGGCCTTAGAGAAGGATTCAGAGCAGCAATGCAAGTCTTTTCAACTAAGTGTTGGATGCAGAGGAAAGAGTCTTTAGAAGCAGGAAAGAGAATGAGACTTGGAGAGGGTTAATGATAAGCCCTATGTATGTCCTATGACCAGTGGACAAGCAGAAGGGGCATAGGCAAAGCAGGCACAGGAGGGAAAAAGGCAAACATGAGGGAAACTAAGAAAGGGCAACACCTTGGAAGTCGATGGAATGTACAATACAAGCTCAATTAACCCCGGCCCAGGTCCATCTCCTGTTCACAGAAGTCCCTCCTTCCTCTTTCCCTCCCATTTTTCATACACTGGTATATTGACATCTGCAGGCTCCTTTTCTAAGGGAAGACATGTTTAGGGGCCACTTATTTTAGCCCTCTGTCATTTTTTATGTTCTTCTGAGCAAAAGGGCTGTATTGCACGCTGCTGTGCTTTCCTGTGTGTGCACCATTATCCTAAAGTGTCATCCTTCACGAGGGCAACACATGTTAGAAATGTGACACATTACAACGCCCACCTGTAAGAGACTTAGATACTACGCTAAGCTGGGGAGTCTACATTTAAATTAGGCGAGATAATGACATGTTAAGCTGAAGGCCTCAGACAGCCATGATAGCAAGATACATTCCTTCACTTCCATATCTTTCTAAGTGTCTGCCCACAATTAAACTTCCTTTATGTTATTTTTAGGCCTAACAATAAATAATAAAATTGTGCTTATCTTGTTCTGTTTAATAGAAAGATTTTTATGTGTTTATTTATTTATTTATTTTTATGCCAGACCCAGGGCTTGAACTCAAGTTTGTTTTTTTTTTGGGGGGGGGGAGGATTTGGCTCAAAGCTAATGTTCTAGTGGTAGTGTTCTACTGCTTGAACCAAGTTCCACTTCTGACTTTTTTAGTGGATAATTGGAGAGAAGAGTCTCATGGACTTTCCTGTTCAGGCTGGCTTCAAACTGTGCTCCTCATGTTTTAGCCTCCTGAGTGGCTAGGATTATAGGTATAAGCCATTAGCACCCAGCTTAGGTCCACTAGTTTTCACCTATTGATTCATTTACTATTCTAAAATTAGGTATTTTCTTTTCAAGATTCTGAAGATATAATCAACCTGTTTTGTTTCAAACTATTTTCATAGAAGCAGAATCCAAGGGTATTGGCATATAGGTAGCTTTTCCCTAGAAGACAAGTAATCAGAGCTAGAGTGTGTGGTTCAGAGGTAAGAGTAATTAACTAGCATGTATGAGGCCCTGTATTCTTTCCCAGATACCATAACAACAACATTCACCAAAGAGAGAGAGAGAAGAAGGGGAGACAGGGGGGAGGGAGGGAGAGAGAGAGAGGAAAGAAAGGAGAGGGAGAGAGAATCACACATTGAAAAATGACCACAAATAACAGTCCGACTAAAGCAGGTTAGAAGAGACTTGCCATCTAAAAGGGTTGAGGAAAATAATGAATGACAGCTGGGCACTGGTGGCCCACAACTGTAATCCTAGCTACTCAGGAGGCTGAGATCTGAGAAGATAGTGATTTGAAGCCAGCCCAAGCAGGAAAATCTGTGAGACTCTTACCTCTAACAAACTACTCAGAAAAAGCCAGAAGTGGGGCTGTGACTCAAGTGGTAGAGTACTAGCCTTGAGCCAAAGGAGCTCAGGGACAATTCTCATGCCCCTGAGTTCAAGTCCAGGACCCACCCCCCCACACACACTATGACAATGGTGGAGATGAACTTTACAACTTGGGGTGGGGGTGGGGGGCATTGGGAGGGAGGGAAAGTAGGAGAAGAATGAGGGAGGGGTAACAATATTTGACAAGAAATGTACTCACTACCTTAAGTGTATAACTGTAACCTCTCTGCCCATCACTTTAACAATAAAAGTAAATTTTAAAAAATACAGACAATAGATGGGTAGTAGCCAAATAGACGGAGGTGAGGGGCAGGGGAACAATTTGGTGCTTCCTGTTTCATTCGCTCCCAGAAACCCTCGATTTTGCATATACCTGCCTTGTTCTTTTTCCTGCCTATCTAGAGACACTACCATTAATTTCAGGGATTCTATCATAGGGTCTTATTAGTCAGATACTCACAAGTAAAATTGCATCTCTAAGATAGTCAAAAGAATTTTAGCTATATCTAGTCTTCCAAGAAAGTCATACAATGAACAATGCCAATAACAATTATGAAACTAAATTGACCTTATAAGAATAAAAAATCAGTTTTGCCAGTTTACATTCATGGTGACTAATTTCCATATAAATGATCTGGCTTTAGCCAGTCTTAAAAAAATGTCCCTGTGTGCTCTTTCTCTTTCCTTCTGTCCCTGTTTCCCTCCATCTCTCTCTCTCTCTCTCTCTCTCTCTCTTTCTCTCTCTCTCTCTCTCTCCCTTTCTCTCTGTCTCTCTCTTTAATAGCTACAGTTCTGAAGATGACTGTAAGTGGAAATATTCAATTGTCTGAATACATTCACCTGTGTTGCAGTTTTCTAATTATAATATTCATTTATTTTCTCTTTTTTCCCTGGCAGTGTATCAGTTGCAGCAAGAGGCACCTCGTCCCAAGAGGATAATTTGTCCTCGGGAGGTCAGTATCCAGCTATATCCCACACACTTTGTCAAATGTGATAAATTGTCAGCATTGTTGATAATATCGGAAGGATTTCAGGTTTCCTGGGAGTTGATTTCTATTAATGTTTGTTAGAGTGTCACCAAATTTAACATCTTTTTAATCTGTATTTTAAAAGACATGTTATTTTTAAAATACTGACAAGCTAATGTAGAATCACAAGTCTCACATCTGTAAACATTGCAGAGATAATTTGAACAGCCTTTGAAAGCCCTAAAAAAAGGTACATTCTGTTCGTTTTTTTGCTGTTGTTACTATTATTGTTTAGATTCTTATGATTATGAAATGTTTCTAGCTGATGAAGTACAGAGAACAATAAGCATTTGCATATTGCCAGCACCTATAGTTAATAAAGGTTTATGATTTGTCATATTTACATAACATTTATAAAATAATATGCCTTTCATGGAGTGTTTATATTTTTTAGTCTTAGAGAGATCTGTAAAAATTCATCAACTTGGACTGGGAATGGTGGCTTATACACAAGTTGGAGATTGGTTCTAGGCCAGTCTAGTCAAAAACATTGTGAGACCCTATATGAAAAATGTACTGAAGCAAAAAGCAAGCCTAGGGGCATTGTTCAAATAGTAGAATACCTATTTAGCAACCTCAAGGACTTGAGTTCAAACCCTGGTCACCCCCAAAAGGACAACACAATGATAACAGCAGACCAGCAAATTGTGATAGCCCATTCCTTTGGCTCCAGCTACTTGACAGCCTGGGGTAAAAGAATGAAGATCTAAGGATCAAAGCAAAAGACTCATACTTGAAAAATAAGCTAAAAGCAAAAAGACTATGGATATGGCCCAAGTGGTAGGAGTGCTTCTCCAGCAAACATACGTCTTAGTTCAATACCTAGGTCTGCCAAAAACCATACATAAATGTCCAATATTTTAGATATGCATATATATTTAGGTACACTCATAAAAATTCTGACCAGCCTATAGAAGTTTTACCTGTTATCATTCATGAATCAGTTTTCAAACCACCAGGTGGTTTGAAAGATCTGAAAGATAAAACTAAGGCTGCATTTTCTATTATTATTCTGACCAATTTTTTAATAGCCACAGTCATATCCTTGAACCCCAATGCCCATGAGTCTTTGCTGCTCTTTATTATTACTTTGATTAACTATAGAGTAGCAGACAGCTTTGAAGGTGTAGTATCGGCTCCATCAAAGAGGAAGGCTCCAACGCCAACTCTCCTATGACTTATTCTTGATCATCAGTACTTCCTGAGCCTGGTTTTGAACCTATTTCTAAAATTTGCTACATACCCAGGATTAGTAAACTTTGTTCCTAAAACTTTTACTTTTCTACAAGGGTACTAAAATTCATCAAGTAATTTTATTTTTTTCAAATTTTTTAATTGCGATTAAGTGGTTACATAATTTCCCAAATTTCACAATATTGTGGGATAGTGATGCTCAGTTAAAGTCACAAATACATTCTAACTTTCCTGGAGCAAATTGTCTATCACAGTCTATAACATTTATGAGTTCTATGAGCTTTGCGATACAGTTATTTCTTCCACATTGGGTGATATGTACATTTCTTTTGTTTTGCATAGCATCAGCTGTTCCCTCTTTCCCACTTGTTCCCTCCCTCCCATCGCTGCCATTGAGTTGCTTAGTTCATTTTGGTCAATGTCCAGTGCAGCTGATGGGTCCCACTATTACATGTTTTTCCCTGATTCCCTCTAGTTCTGTGTCGTCTTCCTGGTTCCCCTCTGGTATACACATATATACCATACATGTGATCAGCAGCATGGGGATATTTAGTAGTGATTCGACCAGATGAGTGGAAGTCCTTTGTTTCTTAAGTCCTGTTAATTTTGTCATATCACCTAACATTTTGGATTTAACATCCACTTATCAGGGAGACCATATACCATTTGTCTCTTTGCTCTTGGCTTACCTCGCTCAACATGATTTCTTCTAGCAAGTGATTTCCCTGCAAATGCCATTATTTTGTCATTTCTAATGGCTGCATAATATTCCATTGTGTATCGATACCACAATTTTTGGATCCATTCATCTGTGGTGGGGCATTTGGGTTGTTTCCATATCCTGGCTATTGTGAACAGTGCTGCAATAAACATGGAGGTGCATGTGTCCTTGTATACTGGTTCCTGTTGTTCAGGATAGATGCCTAGAAGTGGTATGACTGGGTCATAAGGGAGGTCAATATTTAGCTTTCTGAGGACCCTCCAGACTGCTTTCCAAAGTGGTTGTATAAGTGTACATTCCCACCAGCAGTGTAATAGGGTTCCTCTTTCTCCACATTCCCTCCAGCATTTGTCGTTGGCTGACTTGAGAATGTAGGCTATTCTGACTGGGTTAAGATGGTATCGCAGGGTTGTCTTTATTTGCATTTCCTTCACAACCAGGGATAGTGAACATTTCCTCATGTGTTTCTTTGCCATTTTTATCTCTTCATCTGAGAAGTCTCTTTTTTATTTTTTTATTTTTTGTGAACACACTGTACAGAGGGGTTACAATTACATGGGCAGGTTAATGCGTACATTTCTTATCAAGCATTGCAGCCTCCTCCTTTGTTTACCCTTCGCCTCCCTTCCCATCCTCCCCCCCCAACCAATCCTCCCCGCTTCCCCCCCCCCACCAACATTGTAACACTCGTTTTCGACATGACAATTTGTACTTCTCATTGTTGCAACAGGTCCACCTGTATCCTTAAACGACTTGTTTTTCCCCATCTCCTCTACAAGTTATACTGACATCAAATATAGTGAAAGCACGGGTTATACTGTGGGGGAGGGACATACAAAGCTACAAAGAGATAATCTTATAAGTACATTAGAAACAAATGCCTGAAAGGAAAAAAACATTAAAATACATATCTAAGGGTTCATTTTCCTAACATCACCTTATCTGACCTTTTCTGCCTGACTCATACATATACTAGATATTGCAAATAAGGGAAACCATGGGACCTATGTTTCTTTGGGCCTGGCTTACTTCACTAAATATAATTTTTTCCAAGTTTTTCCATTTCCTAACAAATGGAGCAATGTCATTCTTTCTGATGGAGGTATAGAATTCCATTGTGTATATATACCACATTTTCTTGATCCATTCATCTACTGAGGGGCATCTGGGCTGGTTCCATATCTTAGCTATGGTAAATAATGCTGCAATAAACATAGTTGTGCTGGTAGCTTTAGTGTGGTCTTGTTTGTAAACATTTAGGTAAATGCCCAAAAGTGGGATTGCTGGTTCATAGGGGAGCTCTATGTGAAGTCTTTTGAGGAACCTCCATACTGCTTTCCAAAGTGGTTGAACAAGTTTACATTCCTACCAACAATGAAGTAAGGTTCCCTTCTGTCCACATCCCCTAGAGCATCTGTTGTTGTTAGAGTTCTTGATTTTTGCCATTCTAACTGGGGTGAGGTGGTATCTCAATGTTGTTTTGATTTGCATTTCTTTTATGGCTAGGGATGTTGAGCATTTCTTCATGTGTCTATTGGCCATCTTTCTTTCTTCTTCAGAAAAGTTTCTCTTTAAGTCTTTAGCCCACTTATTTATTGGGCAGTTGTTTCTTTGAGGATTTGTTGTTGGGGGATTTCATTTTTTGAGTTCCAAGTATATTTTAGATATGAGACCCTTGTCTGTTGTATGGCTAGTAAAGATCTTCTCCCAATCCGTGGGCTTTCTATTGATCTTGCTAGCTATGTCCTTTGACATGCAGTAGCTCTGCAACTTCATGCAATCCCATTTGTCCAACCTTTCTTTGATTTGTTGTGTTTCCGGGTCACTATTCAGAAAATTTCGGCCTGAGCCAAGGAGACCTAGGGTTTCTCCTATTCCATCCTGTAATGTTTTCAGAGTGTCTGCTTTGACTTCGAGGTCTTTGATCTATTTGGAGTTGATTCTGGTGCAGGGTGATATATAAGGATCTAGCTTTAGTTTTCTACATGTAGTTAACCAATTTTGCCAGCACCATTTACTGAAGAGGCTGTTTTTCTTCCATTCTATTGTTTTAGCTCCCTTATCGAAGATTAGATGGCTATAGGTCTGTAGGTTCATTTCTGGGTTTTCAATTCTATTCCATTGGTCCTGAGGTCTGTTCTTATGCCAATACCAAGCTGTTTTGATTATTATGGCTTTATAGTAGAGTTTGAAATTTGGTATTGATATTCCTCCAGCAGTGTTCTTTCCGTTGAGGAGTGTTTTTGCTATTCGGGGTCTTTTATTGTTCCATATGAATTTTTGGATTGCCTCTTCTATTTCCTTGAAGAATGAGGTTGGAATTTTGATAGGTATTGCGTTGAATTTGTAGATAGCCTTGGGAAGTATTGCCATTTTCACGATGTTAATCTTTCCAATCCAGGAGCATGGGAGATTTTGCCATTTTTTAAGTTCTGTGTTGATTTCCTTTTTCAAGATTTTAAAGTTTTCATCATAGAGGTCCTTCACTTCTTTGGTTAAGTTAATTCCTAGGTATTTTATTTTTTGTGGGGCTATTACAAATGGAGTTGCTTTCCTAATTTCAGCCACACTTTTCTCATTGTTGGCATACAGAAAAGCCATTGATTTTTGGGGGTTAATTTTATAACCTGCTACTTTGCCAAAGTTTTGAATCAGCTTGAGTAATTTGGGAGTGGAGTCTATGGGATTCTTTAAATACAAGATCATGTCATCTGCAAAGAGGGAGAGTTTTATTTCTTCTTTCCCTATTTGGATCCCCTTTATGTCTGCATCTTGTCTTATTGCTGTAGCTAGGCATTCTAATACTAGATTGAACAGAAGTGGAGAGAGTGGACATCCTTGTCTTGTTCCTGAGTTAAGAGGAAATGGCTTTAGTTTTTCACCATTAAGTATAATGCTGGCTGTAGGTTTGTCATATACAGCCTTTATTGTATTGAGGAATGTTCCATGGATTCCTAATTTTTCCAAAACCTTCATCATAAAGGGGTGTTGGATCTTGTCGAATGCTTTT